GATTAGACATCGGGTTACTCCGAGTTGAGTTATTTCGTGTTGTGTTGGGTTAGGTTGATCGGGATGGTCGGGTTTTTGAGCACCCCTAACAGTGGCTATTGGAATCCAATGGTATAGCCAATTTGAACCATCATTTGTTTCTTTGGAATCATTTCTCATTTCAATTAGAAATCAACTCTCTCTTTTATTTCGAGAAATAATTTGTTTTTGATACCCATATTCCTTATATTTACTTTTAGATGGCTTTTAGTTTACTGGCTGATGGCTAATCGAGTTTCTTTTGGTTTCTTAAATATACATATAATCAACTTGCTCAATCTTTTTTCTTTAAATCTTCTATTCACAGGAGCAACCCTTGCAGCCGACCTTTAGAARAATTATGCAAGCCTGAWTTGGGGGATAGGTTATTAAGAAAARGCTAGGGGCCTTCTACCTCATGYTTATCAGGTAAGTGCTTACTTGCGAGTGCATCACGCTACTTACCTTATCAGATAACATTTTCAGCTATCATAATGGATTGTTGGCAAGCAACTTAATTTTACAGGGTAAGCTCTTACTGTATAAGATTGTTCATCCTCACTTACCGGATAAGAGTCTTAGTCTTTGTTATATCTCTTACCGGGTATGATTTTAGGTCTTTGTCATGTTCATSGGAAGGTAAGTGACACCCAATAAAYGTTTACCTGGTAAGCGTTTGGTAATCAACCCCTTTGTTTTTTCCTCTTCACAATGATTTCATACATCATGGTTTCAACACATTTATATGTATATATATATATATACTACACTACAAAATCGGACCCTATCAGCAACGACCCAATCCATCGGTGATCAGTTATGATTGTGCATCGGTCAAATAGTGGTGGGCAATGCCATCAACAATGGACCACTAATGGAATTAGCGACAAATTAGCGATGTAACATATAAAAATGAAATCGTAAAATGAAAATTCCYATAAAAAGTTATCCTAAAACCTTAGTATACGACTCAAACTCTACAAATCTGAATAAATATGCCTYRAACAGGTGACGAGGTGTGCTACTTGATAATGAATGGCTTAATCGTGACTTAATTATTGATGGTCCCTTAAATGCTTACAAACCTTATCACATTGACATGAAAATGGTATAAACAACCGGTGGTCCATCGTACTAGTTGAATGGTTGAAAGGGACTATATATCATATCTTATAGCATTTAAAAAATCCAGATTCGGTTGATTAATCAATTTTTTGTTGTCTCTATTATTATATGCTAATACTTTACTTGTGAGTACGATGTCTTGATTGGCATTTTTGAACTTTCATCCTATCACTAGAGTAGGTGCAACAAACGATATTCGATGTAAATGTTTAATGTATCAAATGCAATTGTATCGTTCGTTATAGTGATTTCAAAGTGACGTAGAGATAGGAACAGTTCCTTGCAAAATACAAAGAGAAAACCGGAATGCACGCAAAAAGTTCTACGAATGCTTCCGACAAGTAAAGTTATCTCGTTCTCAATGTACACAAACCTTTCTAATGAGGGTGAAGTTGAAGAATATGTATGATAGTTCCGACCATATGTCCACGTTTAACTTTTGTACGGAATACGAATCATTGTCTACGTCATGCTCACCAATCAACCCTTGACACATCATCATTTTATTAAATTGTGAATAAAATGAATCAAATAAACTAATGATGTATCAAAAGTTGATTGATAAAATAAGGATAATGATAACTGTTCTATAATTGAGCCAAATATGTTACTGAATCCACAGATTAATGATTGGTAATGGTAATTGTTCCAAGTAATATAAAAGCATACATATAATACAATCCTTAATATATAAATCTCACAAACGCAAAGATCATCACTTAATTTTACAGAAGTATCTACACTAGAGAGCATGGAGCATCACTTGAACACCATTCTTGGGGACAAGCATCAAAAGATGAACAGGAGAGTGGATGTAATTCGGAGATGGAGTAAACCTATAACGCTGCAAGATCATTGCAAGAGTAATCTTGGYTGTATTGGTTGCAAAGTTTGAACCAACACAATTTCGATGCCCAAACCCAAAAGGCATATATGCTGATGGATTGTTCTTTGTAGCTTTACTAATCCCTTCTGAAAATCTTTCAGGATTAAAAAGATGTGCATCTTCTCCCCATATTGTGCGATCATGATGAAGTGCTAAAACTGGAACATGTAGAATTACATTGGCGGGAATAACAAGATTTCCAAGTTTAACTTCTCTTTCGTTCTTTCGAATTATGGCAATTCCAGGAGGATACAGTCGAAGTGTCTCGTTGATGATCATGCCAATCTGCATGATTTAACGATTAGAAAAGTTAGAAGCGATAGTAACAAAATGTGCCTTTTAGGACGCACCTAATAGGACTTTTAAGTTTTTAAGACCAATAACTATACGTTGCATCTAAAGGCGTTACACTAAGTTGTTAGATGCCAAGTTTTATTGATGAAGTATGACAACCTAATATAGCACAAAAACTAAATCCTTATATATGATATGTTTGAAAAGTATTCCATGTATGAAAACAAAACGAATACGAAAATTTTAGAAAATGTCCTATAAAAAGGTTAATAGAACTGTTTACTTTTTATGTCCATTAGGTGGTTCATCTTCATCGATATAACTTCTTAGGTTGTCGTCTGATTTCATCATAACAACTTATTGTATTGCATTTAGATAAGGCACCYCGTTCTTGATCCTATTTTCTAAAGTCCCATTAAGTGCTYTGTTAGGACGCTTCATCGTATAATTTACATACCGTTTTAAGTTTTGATATGTCTTCAGAACGTGGATGTCGTYTGCCAAATAATTCAACTACTTCCTGTCGTGCTCTTTCTTGCCATTCTGTGTGAATTGACAGAAGAAGAACAGCCCATGACAGCACGAGTGACGTTGTTCCATCCCCGGATACATAAAAGGTTTTACATTCATCTATGATATCTTGTATCGAAACATGGTAACTTTCATCGGTTTCATGATTAGCCTTCACAAGCTGTCCAAGAAAATCAGCTGTGTCCGGATCTACTGCCATTATCTTCTCTCTTTCCTTTATAGTCTCCATAATRAGATCTTCAATTCCCTTTTGAAGTTCGTCGGATTTCAAATCATCACTGCTTTTGAATATTGTACTGCAAAAAACAACGAATGATTTTCTTAATAGGACGATATACAAACAAAAATTGTGTTTGTTATCTAAAAGTGTTACAATAAGTAGTTAGACACTACAACAAARTTGCCTTAATACGGCGCCTAAATTGTCTAACCGTCCAAATAGAATACTTTATAGAACTTAGGTTTATAGGATCAAATATTAAAGTGTCATATCTAAAAGCATTACAATAGGTTTATAGGATGTTTTTAACAAATTTTTAGGACGTTTTTAAGATAAACTATCTTATATATAAGCTATTGTATAGGACACAGAACACTTTTTCAAATTGTGTCATACAAAATAGTTGATACGACACTTTATTTTAGAAGCGTCCTAAAAAACTTGTTAAAACACCTAAAACGTCCTATRAACTTTGTAGATAGAACTTATTGTTGTAGCAATGGTAAAGTACCTCAGGCCAGGAAGCCTAGGATTGTAGTAGTTTCTACCAGCAATTGTACTCATCTTCTTGAGCATTTCGAAAATTTCCTTTCCCTGTAAGTAGTTGGTGCCGAAAGCTGTTCTAGAAATCACTTCTGCTGTCAAAATCCGGAACTCCGCATTTATTTCAACCTCGCTGCCGGCCATCTTTTTCCACCTGAGTAGCAGCATCTCTACGCTTTTCACCATTGCTGGGATCATGTTCTACGTACACGCGGGTTATTGATCGATGGGTTATTATAATAAACAGATGATCAATGGATATGATCCTCATTTGAAGATTTCGACATATCAACCTCTCTTTTCATGAAGAGGCTGATCTTGAACCGAAGTATTCAAACAATAAAAATGTCGTATTTAAATTTCTACTTTGTAAAATTTAAGTATATAATACCAAACAATAAAAATGTCGTATTTAAAGTGTTACAATAAATTTATAAAACGTAATTAAGCGTCTTAACAAGTTAAGTTTTTTTCAAGACACAATTTTTTAGAATGTCCTAAAAAATTTGTTATGACGATCAAAACGTCTTATAATTGTCATATAAACTTAAGTCATATAAAGCAGTTTATTAGGATTCTTAAACATTTTTGGTGTTTTATAAACTAGATTTTATTTTAGTGACGATGATTATGGTGATGGTGATGATGAAAGAGCTTAACAACCTTTAAACTCTCGGCACCGAAAGCTTGGTTAGCCAATTTTCGTTGTCTTGCCCACTTTTGGCCTTTCGATGTAACAAGGCCGTCCCCCAACATTTTCTTGTGAAATGATCCGAGATCAGGTCTTGCTGAAGAGACGCTTCTATTGCTTGCAATTTCTTTGATGATTTCAGGTTCTGTTATAACCAATTCAGGTTGAGGACCATACCAGTTGACAAAATTTTTACCTGCATTAGAAATTAACAACACAAACTTCAATTCATTACAGTGTTTCTTACACTAATGGAGCAAAATCAAATTGAAAGAATACACTACAAAAAAATTGGGATTATACGATCGTAAATATGTCTAAATGTCCAAATAGACTAGGGTTAGTGGACCACCTGTTTTGCAGATAGCCCGGAGTCATCGGATTTGAACCTCCGTGGCCACAAGGGGATTTTTATTCCTCATTGGATTTGAACCTGGGACCTTCTGATACTTTTGACCTTTGGAGCCAAGCTCAAACCAATCAAGCACCATTCTTATGGTTTTGTATTTACTTTTTCATATAACATTATTTGTAAAAGTATAACAAATGTCCTCTAAAAAAGATGTGTTTATAGAATACTTCGTAAAAATGTCTTGTAATAAAACTATTACAACATTTTATTTTAAAAGTACATCTTAATAACTTGTTGAAAGTCCAAAAAGGTTCCGTTAAACTTACAGCAACACTTTCATATATCGTACAACCGTTTGGCTCTTTAAAGTAGGTTATTAGGACACTGAGACATTTATGGCATCCTATAAGCCCAATTTTATTTGTAGYRAAAGCRAAAGGTAATTAAATAGCTTATGGATAACAACACCAACCRTATAATTGAAACCATGTAACAAAGTGAGGCTGTATTCGTGGGTATACGTCATGTGATATATCAGTGAACGGACTCCTTGCTTGGTCTTTCATGGCGGCAATTTMTTTTGTGTTGCCATGAATGAATCTATACGGAGGTCCTTTTACACCTTGTGAACTGAATACATGTTTTATGCGAGTTGGAACCCACCACACTTTGTGTAAGAACTTAATGAGAGATAAGAGGGCAAGAGAGCTGAGRAAAAGGAGAATCCAAGCTCCCACATTAAGCCCCATACATATATATCAAGTTAGATATCTGAACTCTCTGTTCGATTGGGTGTGGAGCTGAACATGAATATATGATGAATATGTAGAGGTAGAGAGGCAGGTTTTATATACAAATGTAACTGGTACGGAAAACATTTTCATATTATTGATGGCGTGCATGGTGATGCCTGAATAAATTRACCTCCAGGCAAGGTGCTTAATGGGATTATTAAGTAGCAGTTGGGTGGCTGAATATTTAAAAGTGTTGATTGATACTGGTGACCAGATTACTATAGGGACCTGTTTTTTGGCTTATTTTCACTTGGTTTTTGGGGGCTTATTTGAGGCTTGCTTTCAAAAGTACGTAGGATTCAAAGACTTAACTGACCTGTATTAAGCAATTGATCTTTAACTCGTTTTTGCATGTTGAAAATGCCCCTTTTCTTGTATTATGTTTGTAACTTTGTTTTAGGGTTTAATGATTTTTGTAACTTTGTTTTAGGGTTTAATCGGTTCGAACCAGATTTGTTGGAGGGCGGTTAGATATACAAAGACCGGTCTTAATCGGATAAGATAAGTCGGATTAGGTTTCGAATTTCCTTTTTGTTTTTGTTTAAGTGAACCAGAACAACCTTTATCGGAGTCTCTGCCGTGATATGCTTTCCAACATGTTTCACCGACAGCTTCATCGATCCCTCTGATGGAAAGCTTTACTACGGCATTGACACCTTCAAAGGGTTTTATATATTTGATTATGGAACTTGCCCCCGTTGTTGTGGTCAAGAGGACGAGGATGAGGAGGGGTTGAAGAGATTCAAAATCAATGGCATAGATATCGGTCACGCTTTTCTTTTGCTTATTGTGTTCTTGGTGTTTGCTAAAAGCGATACCGACGTGCAAAGCTGCTTGGTTCCTGAATCGGGGGCTAATATGAACGTTTTGCTGATGAATTTGCCGTTGGGTGCTGGGGTTTTGGCAAGCTTTCTTTTCACCATCTTTCCGACCACACGTAGAGGGCTCGGTTACACGTATTTCCATCTTCATACTAAATGAGTTCCGTTGCAATCAGGGCTGGCTCAAAGCTTTTTAATGCCCTGTGCTGAAACGTCAAAACATGCCCCAACCAGGAAAAAAACGCAAATATATTTTAGGATTTGTGTAAAACTATTGAAATGGTGTTGGTCGATATCTAATCATTTGCACAATTTCTTCCACAAAATAGTGTAAAACTTTGTATTTCTTTTTTATTTTCTTGAATCATAATATATACATATGTGTGTGTCATTTTTTATGTTTTATTATTTTCTTTAATTTGTAGATTTTAATTTTCTATAGTGAATGAAAAAATATTTATGGATAATTTACTATATTTTATTTATATAGATTTTAATTTCCTATGATTTTAATTTTCTATTAGAAAAAATATTTAGCAGAAAAATAATTATGGATAATTTACTATATATATGGATGATTTTAATTTCCTATGATAAATACAATGTATTATACAATTAATTTTTTATAACGAATTAAGGAAGTAGCTTAAATGGACAAAAATGTCCCTGCCACTAACAAAGAAAACTAATGAAGTTAGTAACGAAGGACCATTTTCAGAGCAAATTGAGAACCAAAGGGACTAAAATTAGAGTAATCAAAGTTAAGGTCCCATTTTCAAAGATTTCACTAAATCAATCGGATCAACAATTACATGTTTTAACTTTTAGATGCAATGTCCATCCAATCTAATCGATTATACTTTTTATACTTAACATTTCAATAAATATGATTAGACCATCATAAGTTGCCTTTAAATCAAAATAAGCTCTCATTCAAGCATTTCGTCGAGCATATAATGTGCATATAAACAAACTAATACAATTACCTCATTCAAGCATTTCATCAAACATGTAATATACAAATACCTCAAGAACTCATTGATGAAGACCATCGTCTACATTTTGAGCATTTGAATACAACTATTATTGTTATACTTGTTGTTGCACGAAAATGGCAAAGTAAAAGGTTAATGTGGATAAAAATGGGTATATGAAAAAATCATTGGAATTGCAAGAAATCGAGTTGGGATTAAAGTTGTACAACTACGAATATAGAGTCCTGCTATGGTGACATTTGGGAAGCGGTAGAATTCAAATTTGACGCAATCGCAAATTGGTCAAACAGAAGCGATTTTGATGGCATTGAATTAAAAACTCAAATTTGACGCAAACACATATTGGTCAAACAGAAGCGATTTGGAATTATAATATTGAGTTAACTCGGATGATACAAGCAAAATCGGTGATCCAACTAGGGATGTCATTCAGTTAGTACTTGGATGACAAGAATTATCTTATCGGCATGTAATTCATTCTATCTTCAAATAAAATATCATTTAATATTTTAATAGGCAAAAATAACATAATATATAATAAAAGAACAAAAGAAATAGTAAATGTATTTGTAGAAAATGGACGTTAGTGAATAGAGTAGTCCTGAAAGACCGGTCTAATCGGTTACTGGGTTTTTTTTTTCTCTCTAAGACTGGTCCAAAAGATTACACTTGGTTCCTGTAAAGGGAGACCAGTCCGGACCAAGACCAGTTGCAATCAAACCGGTTCAAGCATGTTGGAGGTTAGGATTGAAACTGGTTTAAAGGACCAACCAGTTAACAGGTTTGTCACCTAGGGTTGGGTTCCAATGTGAATGAAAGCAATCTTGAAAAGAGTAAGAAGAGATTTCCACCTTAAATAAATCATCATCAGTAATGAGATGTACCAAAATGCACCTTCAATTCCCGCATCTAGCAAAATTATGTCATCTTATATATTATGTTGATGGTTTTGGGCGAGTACAAATTGCAACTGCCACTTGGGTAAAAAAGGGCTCAAGATAAAAAAGGAAAAGTTGAAGTTGTTCTAGAAATAATGATTTCATACTTCAAAAAGAATATTAGATAAAACCAAAGGAAAATTCTGAGACAGATTCAACCAGAAGATGAATTGGAACTCTAAACAGATTTAAACTTTAAGAGATGTATTATAATGACAACTTCTCCTTCATGCGCGATATAAGCTTAAACTTTTCTTCAGCCTCGACCTGCTGACGCATGTCAGATCCCGCAGCACGATCTGGGTGAAAGCTCAGTAATGCCCGTTTATACGCTGCACGCACCTGTATCGCCCATCAGAGGTTGTTTAGTCCACATAACTTGCTTTCAGAAAAAAAAAATGAATTCTTCTTTAAACCAAACGAACCCAATATATCTCACCCAAAGGTAGGGCTGGGAGTAAGATGACCTTACCTCTTGTCCCAAGAGACCAAGAGATCATTCCAAGAAGACCCTTTGGCGTGAAATTAGAAATGCATGGACCCCGGGCCTTCAAAGCCCGTTTTTCAGTAGACAAAGAAGGCCCGGGCTTTTTCAAGCCCTGGCCAAGCCAGGCTTTCGGGTTGAAAAAAGGCCTGATCAGGCTTTTTCAGGCCGGGATAAAAAAAAGAAGTTGGTCTGATCAGATTTTAAGGCTGGGCTTAGAAGGCCGGGCTTTTCAGGCCAGACTTCAGACTTGGGCTTTTTTGTGCTATTTCTAGCTTGAATGTTGACACTAGAGTATGCAACCCACCTCATGCGATGAGGCACAAGGACTGTCACCAACTTGGATTCCTAAACCACGCAATAACGAAGCCATATCAAGACAGGTCTTCTCCAGCTTGTTAAGCTCATGTCTGACTTCCGTGCGGTATACTTCTTTCAAATTCATATTCTCCTCATCCTGAAAAATGAGAGAATGTAGAATATAAGCAATAGTAAGTGAATATAAGCATAATTAAGAGACACCAAAAAAATTCAGCAAACCTTTTTTTGGGATTCTCGGATTTCTTCCACGCGTTGCTTTTGTCTTCTCTCCATGTCTAATAAACGCAAAGTTTCAGCTTTTTTTCTTTTCTGCAGACGACGCAACTGCTGAGCTTCTTCTGCCTGCAAAAGAGAACACGAGTTTTCCACTTAAAAATGGCTACATAAACAGCCGTACATAGACATAGTTGAGACCAAAACAAACCAAACAACCCCGGAATATCCCATCGGGAGGTGGGATTAGAGGTATGATGTAATCAGACCTGAACTCTACCCCTCTACCTCCAAATAGTAGAATGGTTGTTTTCATGAAGACCATCAGCTTGTGAAAAGTGTGCGAATGAGAGAAAAAGAAAGATGAATTTTGAGAAACTAGTTATGAGTAAGCAATAATATACAAATAGAAGTAGTTATAAGAAACACATAACCAAGATATGGAAACCACACAACCCAAGTAAGCCGTTTACCCAAATGCTTACCGAGTAAGCGCTCACGTACAAGAGTTACCACATTCACTTACCTTAATGGTTAACATTCTCCGCCATCAAAATGAATGGTTGGTAAGGGTTTCTTTCCCAGTAAGCGTTTATCGTGTAAGAGCCTTCTCCCTCACTTACTGGGTAAGATTCATGGTTCTTGCAGTAAGGTAAGTGACATCCGGTAAGCGTTTGGTAAACGCTCCCTAACTTAGGCTCTGATAACCTAATGGCTAATACCATATAGCACGTGGAACAAAGTGATGACGACAATGATGATGAGTTGATGACCATTTAAGATTCACAAGAATTGCACTTGGGATGGACATTATAGAACTGGAGGATGCACATAATGGTATGGTAGCAAAGCTTTAAAACCTACATACAAGTATAAGCATTTATGATATTGTTCAACCAATTACAAACAAGTAAATACATCTTGAAAGCAAGTATGCCCAAAAAGATGTAAATGATCAAATCACCAAAAGTTTTAAGTTCCATTATGTGCTAACCCTACCCCTCCCCCTCTTTTTTCTCTCACTTGACTGTACCACAGTGAACTAATTCAGTCTAATTCTTACTCAAACTGAGCCAATACTTCTAGAAATCATGTATTAGAGGGCCAAAAATAGATGCAAATAGTAAGTTGATAAAATTTTTGGCCTGTAATATAAGCTCGTCCCCCTCCCCATTTTTTATCCTTCTCTGTACAATTGTATCACACCCAGTCATATGATTAACTATCACAGGCTTACAGCTGTCTCAATCCCCATACCTGGTGGGGATCCAGTTCTTCAGTGGTCCAATAAGGTACAAACACTGTGTGGCATATGCCGTACCATTGACCACAAATTCAGGGTGGCATGAAAATGGGGATACAGATTATTAGATTAAGCAATTTTTGTCTTCCTTTTACCAGAAAAGGTGATAAAGATTCACAAAACAAAAAATTAGAAGTAAATTATAAAATCTAAAATCCATTTAAATCCTACAACTTAACAGAGAAAAAACAAGGAGGCACGACAAGTGATTTTTTCTAACCAGCCAAGACTAATATGAACACATTAACAGTAGAAGCATAATAACACATCGGTTTTAGTATGTCTTTCTTTTATATACTTGAAGCATGAATCATAAAATAACTTCTTTAATTTATTGGTTCCGTTAGACTTATACATGCATACAAACGTATACTAATATCATCAAGCTTTCAAAATTTCAAGTCCTACCCATATCCTTCAAACATAGCCTTATACCAACCATTACATGCATGCGCTTTCACAAAAGTTAAAAAAGTTCAACCGCATTATGACAGAAATACAATGCCATAAATGGCCAAAAAGACAATGTTATTAAAGCATTAAACTGGTGTGCTATAACATACCTGGATCTTTAAGGCTATTTGTCTTGCTGACCATTCTTCCTCTAGAGCTCGCTTGTATTCGTCTGTCTCTTTAAGCTTTTCTCGTTGATCAATAATAGAGCTCTGAACCGGGACAGCACCAATGGTGGGAGCAACGTCAAGATCATTTTTTTCGTTCTCCTCATCGCTACTAGTAGAAGGCATATGTTCATGCTTGTCATCTCTGTGCACAGGACTACATTGGCTGCAATCTTCAGTTTCATTACCAACTCGTGAATCAGCTTTACCATGATCAACATCTACTTCATTTCTAGCATCACAATCAGACAAACTCGATTCAGCGTGTCTGATTCTATCTTCATGCTGATAGCCTTGCATATAAGCTGGTTGACGGCTCTTCCCTTTAGAAGTAGAAGCTTGAGCATATTTTTGTTTGTTTTTATTTACTCCAGAATCATTATGAGCGCCCCTGGAGGACTTAAAAGAACTGCTGTTATCCCTCCTACCAATATGATCATTGTGTACACCAGCTTTTCTCTTCAATGATGCTCTTTCCCACTGCTCTCGTAGCTTTCCAGAAAAATCTTCCATAAATTCACAATCAGGACTGTCATCATCATCAGATGAATCACTATCTGATTGTAAGCTGAAACTATTACGATTGTTGGAACTTATTCCCGAGTAGGTTCTTTTGCCCTTTGAAAGCTTCACCGGAGATATATTTTCCTGAGCAAAGTGCGTATCTGGACCATATCTCCTGCTGGACGAAGCGTCATCCTCAAAATTTCTCTCACTATCTGCATGTGTTCCAGCATGATGGTTGCTAGGGCTTTCATCATCATCTATGTAAATATATGTCCTCAAAGGACGACTTCTGTCATTTGTTAATCCATTTGAACCTCCTACTTTCTTAGAATGACTTTCAGGTACATCAATAACAATAACATTATTGAAATTATAACTATCCACATCAATCAGAACTACATTATCAACCTCCAAATTATTCCTGCATCTTCTTAAGGCCTTCATCTCATCTATTTTCTTTAGCTATTAAGTAGTGCAATTATGTTCTAGAAGTCGCTTCAAAAAATATCGTCTGGATTCTGCATTACAGAAAACGAATAAAGGATCGTCGCTGTATCTCTTTTAGTTTGGCTGCGAATGAGTCATTCCTCAAAGCTGTCACTGCAGATGAGAACAATTAAAGGTCAAAATATTACATATTGGGAAATCAAACGACTAGAGTAATCACATTAGCCATCTCAATAATCAAAACAGCAATATACCCAAGTTGAAATTAATAGAATCAAACACAAAGAAATAGCATTTACAACTAGGATACAACATAATCTAATTAACCTTCTGATGTTCCAGAAGAGCAGAAGGGCTAATGTATTGCCTTTTATGCATTTATTTTTGTTTGGTTATCACCTTATCCATCAAAAAGGTATGCCCGACGCAATTACACGTGTTGGAAAACAAGATTTGTACCAAGAGAAAAGTGATTCGAGAAGGGATAGGTACAGACCAACATTGACATGAGGGAAGCAGTTAACAATTGGAATATAATGGAGTTGGTCTTAGACATGAGTGCATAGGATGATAATGTTCAAGGCCCTGGAAAAGTTCCCTTTTCATTATTTATTTTATCCCCGAACTAATTAAGGATTAAATAAGCAAGTCATCATACTCATGCCACAAGTAATCGTTACAAAAAGTTAAAAAGTGTGACCACAAGTTTTATGGGGCCAATTGGCTTCGCAGCCCATCTTCATGAGATAAATCAAGAACCAATTTTTACTACAGACAGAAGAATTGTAACTTTACAGTTTCTACTAACAAACAAAATTTTAGAAACAGCTAATAATTTTGATGGAAGGTAGACATAATTCACAATTTTCCATTTTCATGTTCTTTAACTTATTCAAACTGATTTGAAATCTTGTGAATATATTTGAACCAAGGATTCCATCTCCTTAGAAAATTATCTGTGTCTCATGCCTTATAACCGTTAAACCTCAATGAAAGAAAAAAGATACAAGCAAATGAGCCATAATGGAATCCCACATTCTCCATACACACCATTTAGAAAACAGCAACAGGATGAGCACAACAAAGTACAATAGGTTTCTAGGTTTATGCAGTAACCAGCAGATCCCCAGACCACCTTAAAAGAATAACTCTCATTACTTTTGCTTTCAAAATGTACCCTCTAATGCAAACAAGTTGGAACAAAAATTTTGTATAGATAGAAATATCTAGTAATATTTGTATGTTTTTTCCTAATAGCCCTACTCCACCACCATAAAGGTTTTTAAAGCCCACAAAATTCTTCATTCGCTCACCAAGATCAATTAAAATATAAATTCAACATTTATCAAGACAGCGGGCACACAATTGTGAACTCGTAAAAGGCACTGAAGACAAAGGAGGGTTGTGCCAGAAAGCCTAAAAACTAGCTATCCCTACAAACTAGAAAAAAGAGAAAAGACAACTAGTCTGAACTTCTTAAAAAGATACCAATACTGAAGTATACGGGAGCCCAAATACCTGAAAAAACTAGTGAGTTACCAGTATGGAGCACTGTGAAGTTGTGATTAAATATTTTTAAATGAAACAAGTTTTCATCACCAAAACGGTTTTCTTACAAGATTCAAGGGAAAGACCACATGGGAAGACTTCCATCCCAGCCCAACGCAAAACCAGAGGTGCTCAACCTTTCTATGTCATCAACATTAACTCACTGAATTTTTAAAACTAGGGCACAAGTTATTTTCCAGTTTCAGTTATTTCACAACAAACCAATCAAAAATTTCATCCTCCTAACGCCAGCCAATTCAACTGAACCTTGATTTAAACAATCCTAGGTTTAGATAACTATAAGATTCATGAAAACTACTGTACCTTTCTATTAGCACCAGCGATCATTCAAAGAAACAGACATGCAAACAACAAGATTTCAAAAACCCAGAACTCCAATCAAGGAATTTGTACAAAAACCCAATTCACATAGGACCAGAAACCCTAAATCGATCGCCGAACTCTTGCGTAACAAATTAAAAGGAACAACAATTGAGCATCGATTAGAATAATTACCTGGCGTCCAATTTGTCGATTCACTTGTAGAATCTATGACAGTAGAAATCAAATTGTTGGAGAATTGGCGTGGAAAAACGAAGGGGAAAATAAGGAAGCAAGAAGGGCGTGGAATTTTGAAACAACACAAATGCAAAACCTGGGTAAAAGTACTCATGCATAAAAACCGGTTCGTTGGGTTGGAATGGGAACCATCTTTTAGACTAATAAACCGGCCTGGATCGGCTTATGAATTAAGTCAGAACGGGTAGTATAGGGAGAAGAAATTGGGGTCAGACCGGGTCACATATGCAATTACACCTTAATTTCTCATAGTTGATGGGTCTCGTACCTCACATTTGTCTATCATTACAATACTTTTCCATGATAAACAAATGGGGCTTCTAGAAGGACTATCTAATTCTCAAACAAAATTAGAACAAGTCGGGTTATACTAATATTACTAAATTTGCTATCTTCAAAAATGGATGACACCTCTAAGACATCCTATAGAACCCCTATAAAGCTTCATACACCATTCGGATCCCTCTAAGACCTAATATACATGTCGATAAGAAAAGATATTAGCCTTAACGCCTAGTGAGTTAAAGCAGTTGATCCCATAAACATAAAATAGTAAAACCATAAGAGTTCTCTTTAATCAATAATTTCTTATTTAAGATAGTATTTAAAAATCATAGGATCATCTTTAAAAAACCCACAATTTCTAAAACGATATCCAATAATTAAATGTTTGCATTAAATAAAAAATGACATCCAAACTCACCTTAATTCAAAATAAGTGAATAAGACTCGTTCCACAAAACACTCAAAAAAGATAATACATCGTACCCCAAATCACTGAAAGCACGGATAGACTTGATACCTAAAACAAGACCTTTTGGTGACAAGGGAGGGAGACTCATTCCATGCACTATGGAGAAATACGAAGTAAGCTATGTGTCAACATTATCAAGTAGCGCCTTAAGATCATGGTCCCAGTGTCTAACTCCTCTCAAGTTTCCACCGCAATGCCTAAGGTCCTGAAGCCCGACCTCACACAAGTTCATCTCTAAAATACCCTTAATCTTATTGCCCACTTACACACTATAAAGTTACATTTACAAGCCAATGGTCCTAGGTTCTAACTCCACACGAGTTCATTCCCAAAATTACCCCTAATGACTAAGTGTCAACTCTACTAGGCCAAGCCACAAAATATTAGTCCCGATGTCCGACTTCTCATGAGTTCATCATCTTAAGACCCACGGTCTGACTCGAAAAGAGATCACCTGTCCAATACCCATGGTCCCATAGTCCAACCCACACAGATTTCTTTTTGCAATACTGAGTACCATAATGCCTACTCGGCATTTGCCTCAGAGGGATCAGAACTCCTCACTTACCATCATGACTAACTCACTTGACTATGGATCCACTATATAATAGTCTAAAATTACATGACTCGACATTGAATGATAAACATACTTAAAACATGTAGTTCTCATCAATTCCCCAACATATAGATTCACATTTAAATGGCACCAATAACACATTAGGTTGGGTCGTATTCCAAAACTCATTTGAACCACTATTTTATAGACGAACTCCACAAACTGCCTCTTCTAATAATGTCTCTGTTTCAGTTCCAAACTAAACATCGTTGTGAAACAACTTGTAACATATTTTTTCGGGGAGATGAGGTTGTAGTGTTTCATGTCAAGAAACAAGCGTTTCATGTCAAGAAACAAGCGTTTCATATCATGATATATATATATATATATATATATATATAGTTTTGGCATTCTAATTAGATCACTGAGAAGAAAATATTACATTGTGAATCTAGGTTTTGTGCATATTTGTACGCGGGTCCAACCTACTGCCATAAAGCTGTATTTTTTATCCAAAGATTGACTTTGTGACTCTAGACTTTGTGTATATTTGTACCATTGTTGAATTTGTTTGTGTCGACAATTTCTTAGCCCATGATTCATAATATAAATTCCAAATTTTGTCCTTATATATTTTTAACACGCATGTGAAAGAAAGGTCATGTTTTTCCCAATTATTTCTTTCCTTTTTTTAAACATCATGAGTGGGTGTGAATGAATTGTTCTCCCATAATTAGCCAAAATGAAAATCATAAAAAATGAAAGTCTGAAGAACACTCTAATAACCATTTATTTGTACTATTTTCACATATGCATAAAAGTAATTTGTCTGGTATACAGACGTTCATAGAAACCAAGAAACATTTTCGCTTACTTTTGTACACATATGCATACTGACATACCGAAAGATGAATCGTTATTAAGGTGTTATCAAGTTTTCCATCTTTTGTGGTTTTCTCCTAAACCTGAGTGCGTGCGTGTGTGTGTGTGTGTAGAGTACAAGCTAAATAGTATAAAACCACGCAAACTAAAGTATTTTCGTCCTTTTCACCTATTGATATTTTATTTCTTAATTACCTTATTTACTTACCATTTTTAAACGAATTACCATAAGATAGTAATTAAAAAATTCACATATGAAACTGTATAAAAATTTATCATATTTTGATTTCTTAATGTGTTTCACGTATGAAAACATTATACTAAAATTTCACATATGAAACATCTATGTGTATTATCACTTTCTGGTTTCTTATTGCATTTCACCTACAAAACATTACTCAATTTTCAAATATGAACGATCTACAAACATTGTCTTCCAAAAATAAAAGATAACCTCTTCCATTATTGTCCTTCATTTATTTCCTTCCCCTTTTCATCAATTTGTAATATCTCATTCAAATATAATCATTGACATAAAAAAGCGGCTCAGATGGGTTATAAAGTTTGTACTATTTTTACAGCTTGTAAAAGAAGGAGCGTTTATATATATATATATATATATATATGTGTGTGTGTGTGTGTGTGTGTGTGTGTGTATTTGTGGTATATAATATTAATATATAACAAATTGAAATCATACACACTCGTCACATTTAATAAGCAGGACCGTCCCTAGGGGAGGGTGGCACCGGCGCACATCCTGAACCCAAAAATATCAGGGGCCCAAAATTTTCCATTAAAATACAATAGTAGTCTAAAAAAAATTAATAAATTAAAGAAACCCAAAAAATTGTAGCATATAATAAGAGACAAAAAATAATTTAGTAGATACTAAGAGCCCAAAAATATATCAACTAATTATATTGGAGAAGAAAAATAAAAAAACATTAATTGTTCATTCTTTATATGCTATTGTTTATTATCTCTCTAATTTTTTTATCTTCAACAAAGTCCAATGATATTGATTATTATTATCTCTATATGCTTGATTGTTTTCGTGCTTCAACAATTCAACGTTAAGATCATGTGTTTGCTATTGCTATATATTTTTGTTGAATATATTTATCAATTTCTGCTTCTATTGACTATTGCTATTTGGTTATCTTGTTTTTATTGACCATTGTTATCTATTTTTGCTTCTACATAAAATATTTTACTATTATTTGACAATCAATCTATTGATCTTATAATTTATGACGTGTAACACCCCAAAAATACATATACCAAAAAATCATTGGAGAGAGAGAGCCCAAAGCATAAAATAAAATTTAACCAATAAGAGAAATAGAATGGCGGTTACAATCCGGCTAATCGAGATGATAAATAACGACTTATTAATCTACATCCTAAATCTAGATTAAAGACGGGG